TGTCTATTGTGGTTATTAGAAGACTGAACGCGCTTACAACCATACTAAACCATACTAAGTGATGATGCTCCTTGTAGTATACTAGTACCATAAGTCCACTTTTGGGATTTCGAATCTTCCCGGCTACATTCAAGGGAACCACAAACTATTTTTATGGCACATGTAACACACTTAATAGAGACGAGATTATGTAAACGACTTTTATACAATTCATTTATACTTCCCTATATCACTTATAGCTTAGATGTTTGGGGTGATACCTATTCAACGCATTTAAATTGTACCTAAAAGTATATAGTCCGTATAATGTTGTTTAGAACACGCAACGAAAATTCAAGAACTACATAATCTTGATATATTCAAACTTCATAAACACTTAGTTGCTACATTCATTCATAATCTTACTTATACAGATTCACCCCATTCATTGTGTGATTACTTTCGACCATTTGAATATCACCACGACACTAAACAACATTTATATCTTGACAGAGCTAACACAACGTCGGTACAGTTTGCTACTTACTTTATAAGAGCAAACATCTGGAACAGTATCCCCCTCCACATACGATCAATACCAAATGTATCGAAATTTAGAAAACTTTTAAAATTACATTTATTGCATGGAAATAATTGAAGTTATTTAGCCATTATTTATTTATTTTATTCATTCATTCATTTATTCACTTACTATACCTAACATACTCCAAGTCCCTCACGTAGTTTTGTTTACAAAGGCTGGGCTCAGACTAGTTTAGCTATAGCTATTTTCTGAAGCCCCCTTCATTCATTTTCTGTGACATAGAATTGTATCATACCAAATATTGTATTGTATTTTTTGAAATATTTCCAAATATTTATTTCATCGGTACAGTTTGCTATTTATTTTACTTCAGGATGAATAAACGTATTATTTTTATTACTTAGTATTATATTTATAATTTGTTGCAGAAAGCACAATGTTGTATAATGCTTCAACTGAAGCACAGACGTCATTAAGTGATGCCCCATGCAGTGGTGACTGCACTACAACCTCTAGTAGCAGTGTACTCGTGACAGAAATTATCAACAGTCCCACCGAATTATGGGGATTGGATCTAAAATTGATTGGTCTCCTACTACTTTTCTGTGCTGGCGGTATCTTTTTATTGGTTGCACTACTTGCGTTGTGTCTCCTGCGACCACGCCGGCTAAACAAAGTGTCTGCGGAGAGTAGGGTGGAGAGTATGGAGATGAAGTCGGAGAAACGTCCATTCTCGATGTCCGCCGCAGCGCAAACAGACTTCGAAGATGAATTCAATCCATATGACTGTCACTTTGTTTCCAAACCCATTGACCACCACCACAATTCCAAGCCAAATAACAATCGCTTTTTTTCCAGGCCAACTGACCACAGTTTGGATGATTGGAATGACTCTCGACGGAATGATTGGAGCCTTATTTGGATCTAGATTTATTACAAGACATTGTTTAAATATGACATTAGTTGCTCACGTTTTCGAACTTTTATCGAAACCTTTCACTCACTTCTTTGACTATGTTTTGTACTTTAGATTATTGTTTAGAAATCCTGAACTTGTAAATTATTTGACAAATTATGTATTTAGATACTAATTGTGCATGAAATGTGTCTACTTTCTCAAAATTATTTAAATATGCACTAAAGTTGAAATGTTGAAAAGTCAATTTTGACTCCACATTTTAATTTATAATTAGTACTGCAGACTAGCATGCATCGTCGCCACAGTCAATGTGAAACTAAGATTGGTCTTAATTGGCTACCCAACACTAACACTGATTTGCATTGTCACACTAGAGAGTTTAAGATTTGTGTACGTAACGGGAACGTAACGTGTTGTTCTAATTTCGTTTGCGTTACGTTCTCGGGTGTCAGAAAACGATTAAGTACAAGCGCCCACGACGGGACCGTAACTGAAACAAAACCACGTCAGTCCGTCTGTCACTGGGCAACCATAATATTATAACTATTTAATAAAATTTGTTAAGTCATTTCACGTCCGGAATCTGAATTAGTAGTTAGTTCCCAGACATTTGACAGAGCTCTCGCTATTTCCATCCACTCTGCTGAGGTCCCAGGCCTGTTTGCCGAATCCTCTTTCAGCAAATCAATGTCATGCGTTTTCAGTGGGTATAAATATCAGCTAAAATACATCCAATATTTCTTATTTTATCATAAATATACAAAATCAATCTAATATAAAACGTGTTATCAATGTCAGTGAAAATTAATCAAAATTGACAGCGAGAAAAGCTCTCGGAAATCAACTACGAGTCAGTCACCTTCATTACGTTTAAAACGAATGCCGTACGACCAGGCAACCGATGACGTCATTGGTTCGCGCGGAGGTCATGCACAAAGCAGTGACGTATCCGTTCTCGTTCCGTTCTCGTTCCGTTCTCGTATGCGCATCTTAATGTCTCTAGTATTGAAACACAATTGACCATTTTCCGTTCACTGCGAGAATCACGCGTTATGCGTGAAATCGAACGTAAAAACAGGACCACAGTCCCTCTGTGACAGGACAAACAAAGGTCATAGCGTCGTTCTGTCGTCAAACATCGCGTGGGATTCGACAAACGCGAAAATATTTTGGGGACATTTCCATGCTTAGTAATGTGCTGTACACATTTGATGATAGGCAATTTTGATTAAGTAAGGGTATTCGAAAGCAATATTCCTCTGTCGAAGAACGGCTGGTCGATGTGAGCTACGAAATAAAGAAACTCGAATTTCAAAATCAAATCGTTCGATTTTTGCGGCAGACTTTCGACGCGCGTCTTACATGCATCTCGCGAGATCTCGCAATTGTACGGAAAATCATCTATTGCTGATGGCAGACGTATATCAACTATGTGTTTAACTGGTGGACAGATGCACGTTCGAAAACAAGAATTCCGATTCACAGTCAATTCGTTGCAATTCACATTCGTCCCAACACACTTGTCTCAATTCACTTTACAATACAAATAACTTGATTCGACAATTGACGGATTAACGTATTGTATGTATAATGTGATACTAGTACAATAAACGACTAATGTTTGCGTGACCATGATTAGATGCAGTTTGTTTTAAGGATCTTGTTGCCCGTATTGGACGAGTTAGTTTTAGGCTAACCTAATAAATCGCACGAAACGACTTTCGAACGGTTGAACTTGTGGGACGAATCGATTTCGTGACGGATAAACTCGTGGGAAGAATCGACCATCCACGCAAGAATAACTTGTTTGCTAAATATTCTCTGTTACAGATTAATTGAAAATCTTGAAAAATATAAAATATTTGTTGCATTATGAACCTTACTTGATGCATTTTTCTATCCAAAAATGGCAACCGGAGTAGAATCCTCACTTTTTATTTGCAGTTGGTTACATGTATTTCATTCACTATGAAAATACATTGTATTTGTTTATTCTTTTTTGTTATTCAATTTAACAGTGCCCCCTTCAACAACTGCACGATAATGAGAATTTTAAGTAATCCCATCCGACACTTGTGGATTAGCATTTAGTGAGGATTGCATATTTTCATCACTGATTTCTTGCTACTTGCAGACACTGAACCAAGATTAGACAAACATTGTTTATGAACTCGTGGACAATGTAACTAGTGATGTTGCAACACCGAAATTAGTTCATCCAGCAACAGTCAACTCAACCCAACTCAACTAACATCACAATGCAGTTGTGCAATTGTTCATGTCTGGGTCTTATTATGCTGTGGTTGAATCGAGTTTTGGAAACACTGGACAAGCATTAGAGCAGAATACCATTTTCTTTGTCAATCAATACCTGTAGGTTTAATTGCCATGAAAATCTCATGAAAAAAAGAGAAGATGTTATTCGTCTGCACAGTATTATACTATCTGGACACTAAACTAAAATAGTTGAAGTAAACACTTAAATATAATGCGGGTAATATTTCTTGCTCAATTAGTGGGGAATTTCAATTCCACTGCTTCTAAATTCATTATATATTTGTGCACTAGTTTACGTTGAGCTAGCCATATGTGCTACAATTCTATCAACTGTTTTGTAAAACAATAGAACCGATACAGATTATAATTTTACCTATAAACACACCTTTACATTTTGTATCAACAGACAATGTATGTTCCACAAGTTGTATACATCACGGGTGACCTTATAAAACATAACAACTATTCCACATTGAAGAAGATCTGTATGACCTTGATAGGATGGTTAAAAAGTGGAATTGAAAACAAATTTAACAGACAAGCTAAGAATAAAGTTATTTTTAATGTTATTAACCGTATAGATTATCCTTACAGTCACTTGGTCCTACCAAGTATGATAGATATGAATGAAAATCTGGCAGTCACATTTTTTGTAAACAATACAAATAGACATGAACAATATATGCGAGAAATGTTTTGCTATGTTATATTCTCATGTGGATAGAAAACTGACCTCAGTTAACCATGCTGCTAGATTTAAGTTCTAACTTACACCATGGTGAATTGGATAGAAACCAGTGTATTGGCTAAAACAACTTCCGTCATTCTTAAAACTATGGTTAATATACATAAATGCATACATAAGTGGTTTTGTTTCACACTGTCATTTGCTCAGCAATAATGCAGCATTTATCATGTGATGTCATAAACACTATTTGAGTACATTTTACGTTTATTGGCAGTGCACCTCCGACCGAATCAGAAATAGCTAGGGTTAGAAGTTATTTCTTTCTTCTCTGTCACATAAATTATGGCAAAATGGCACCAAAAGTTTGTGTTCAACGGGTTGACAAAACCATATGTTACAACCGTATGTTATAAATTTGTACCCTTAGTCTGTAGACATCACCATCATTTGCTGAGGTGAATGGTACTTTTGAAGATCTGCAGACATCACCAGAATTCACTGAATTAACTGGTACCCTTTGGTAGCATGTATACATCACCAGAAAACACTGAGTTTACTGGCACCTTTTGTAGCAATTCCCAAAATATACCAAGTTAACTGGTTCCTTTTGGTAGCCTGTAGACACTGCCGGAAAACACCAGTTTTTGTTCTTTGACTTTGCTGTCCAGGAAATGTCTGAGTTCTTCCTCACTGCACTCAATAGTAGACATTGGTCCTTGAATTGCAAACATCTTTAACATGGAGTAAATACGTTCTAAAGGCAAACTCTCCAGATTAGTCAGCATACCAACAATATAGGACCAGAATACCTGAAGAAATGAAACTATTGTTACTTTATATATTCAACAGCTTTTTGAAAATTTATGTGAAAATATTATTCTTGAAGGTAAGTGAAGGTTAATTGAAAATGCATATACATGTGATCAATTTTTTTTTTTTTTTTTATTAACAGAATTTTCGACAAGACAGGGTTCATTTTCTCGCCAAGAAACAACACCCAAGATGTTCTTCACCTGTAATTCTTCTTCTCTTTGATCCTGAGCAGAAGCCATGGCAGATTCAGTCTCTTCATCACTGTCAATAATCATGACCTCATGGCTACCACGCCCACCTGGTCTTTCTTCAATCAATACAAATGTATCTGTTGACTGCTCTTTGAGTACTCCCTGACTTTGCCAAAAAGCCATTTTACGTCTCAGTGCAGTTACAGGTACTTTCATCACACTACTTAGCTCGTTTATTGTCCATGTATCTGAGGAAATATATTATTACTGAGTTCCTCAAAAATCTGAAGAATTATTATATTGTTGCTCAGTTCAGCAACAATTAAAAGAAATATATTATTACTCAATTCAAGAATGATAAGAGATATATTATAATTCAGCAATAAAAGGAGTAAGGTAATTGTTCAATACACAACACTACGAGTTATCCAGTAAAACTTTGTGTATAGAGATAATCCACAGGCTTGTATAGTTTTTATTCAAAATTTGTGCATAATTAATTAACTAATTTGAATAATAATTGCTAATTTTAGCTGTTTCACTGATCTCAAAAATTACCCAAAGGATTTCAATGAAACTTAATACATAAGTACTCTGGGATAATCCACATACCTGATTAGTTTATAATTTAATTCTGTGCATATTAATTGCCAACTTTAGCCGTTTCACTCATATCTTAAAAACTACTTAAAAGAAGTTTCTGGGACAACAGCATTTTATACTAAAAATAAAGAGATCAATATTCTGATATTGAGTAAAACTCACCTTTCTCTTGAAAATGCAATATAAT